GGTGCAGGGGAGCCGCATGTGCAGCAGTCAACAGTCAATGTGCAATTATGCATGTACAAACTGAGAATGTAAACAGTACAGGTTATCAGTACATGACGTATTTCCTGGTAATAAACTCCTCAGCTGTTTAGGAGTCTGATGGCAGAGGGAAAGAAGGAGTTTTTCAGTCTAGAGGTCCTGCATTTCACACTTCTGAACCTCTGGCCAGAGGGTAGGGAGGTGAACAGTCTTGCTGGGGGTGGGTGGGATCTTTGAGGATGGAAGCAGCTTTTCTACGCACCCTGCGGTGGTAAATGCTCTACTGAGAGGGCAGTGGAGTCCTGGTGATCTTCTCCACAGTCTTTACCACTCTCTGTAGGCGCTTGCGGTCCATAGCAGTAGTGCTGCCGTACCAGACAGTGATGCAGCTGGTCAAGATGCACTCAATGATGCAGCTGTAGAAGTTGCTGATGATCCTAGGCGACGTGCCAAATCTCCTCAGCCTCCTCAGGAAGTACATCCGCCGTTGGGCCTTCTTGACCAGCTGTGTGGTGTTAAGTGTCCATGGCTGCAGTAATGCCACAGAGCTGGGACACTAGCTCTTTACTGAAGGTAACCTGTTACAGGTCGTCATTTATTCAGGTCTCTATTTATAAGTACTTTATCCTTATTTTTAATGCACATTCCTTTGTTTTTTGCACATTACTTCTATACTTTGTGTTCTCTCAGCCTTATATTGTTTACTTGCCCTTTGCTATTGCTGTACATAAGGATATGTACAGGAACATTGAGAGCCGCTGTACCAGAGTCAAATTCCTAGTGTGTCCTACACACCTGGCCAGTAAAGCTGATTCTGATTATGAAGGCTACCTTTTGTACAGTTTGTCCCAACCAGGCATTCATAGCTCACATTAGAGCTTCAGGGAACAGGATGGGAGGGGCAAAGAGCAATAAGGAGTGGTGTGTAATGTGAGTTTGTTTTTTCCTATTTTGCCGAATGGTCAGTACACCAATGCTTCAGAACTTATCTTTGACATTTCCATACTGCCATACTATTTCTTGTTATTCTTTGGCCACACTGTAGGCCAGTATGCAGTACCCATGATAATATGGCTGGAATATTGTCCTGGCCAATTTATTGGTCAGGCTGTAATGCAAACTTGGCGAATTGCAGGTATCACTATCATTTGACAGATTTGGAAAGATCTGGATGTGGAAAAGATCTGGTAAGTTATTTAGGGCAGTGGTTACTGCTGTTGCCTCACAGTAAGAAGGTTCCAGGTTTGAGCCCTGCTTGACCCTGTGCCTTTTTGTTCTCTCTGTACCTACGTGGGTTTTCAAAGACATGCCGCTTAGGTTGAATGGCAACTCTAAAATATACATTATCCAGTGTAAAAACATGCCACATTTAACGTGCACATCGTCAATTCAGTGGGAACTGATGATTCGTGTTAGGTTGTATCCCGTCCTCCCCTACACACTGTAGTAGTAAAAGACTCTTGTGAGATAAATTTATGGCCATCCCTTGAGCAAAATATATCAGTGAATGGTCAGGTCTGATCTGTTTTATTAACTTAGGTTGATCATACAACTTCAAAAGATTAATTTAACATTTTGGGAATAATATAATAATAATAATAATCAGCTTTATTTGGCCAAGTATGTTACACACAAGGAATTTTTTTCTAGGTACAGAACAGAGGCAGCCATCTGCGGCGCCAACTCAACTGATGGCTTTAACCATTGGAGGCAACTTGGGGGGTTTAGTGTCTTGACAATTTGACATGTGGACTGATTTTGGGATGAACTTTTTTATGTGGCTCAAGGAGAAAGAATTTTAATCGATACTCTAACATACAGCTTTAATATTGGGTATATTTGAGGACTAATCTCACTTGAATAGCAATTGGCATCAGGTTATCATCAGGTGTTTTGTGGAGCAGGACAAGGGGAGCCATCAGGTACTGCTGTTTCTCGTTGACGGTGTTTGCTGTCAGTCCATCCAGAAGCTTGTAGTCACACAGAAATATGTTGCCATTCTGTTTAAAATTTCAGTGGAGATGAGACAGGGTTTGACTCACAAGCACAGTGTGGACACTATATTGTATTTACAAAACCGAACGCTGCTAGATACATGGGAAGTTTAGGTCTAATTTATTTCAGTAGTGATACAGTTACCTTCAGTTCATCTGCCAAGTTGCATTGACCACTGGGGAAGACCATGTCATCAGTGACGGGGAAGTTACTGGGCAAAGCAGTGCAACGTCGGATCAGCATGGGGTTGACACCATTTAGAAACTGGTAGCCAAAAAAAGCATCCTCCTTCCAATGTTGCTGAACGTAGTCTGGAGACAGAACAGAGCTGAACTTCACTGAGTTTCAAACTTTGGACTAAAAACATTTTTGCTTTCCCACTGCTATTAGCGTAACTGCCCATATGAAATGTGAAATATGTTACACAATTCAGACCCAGACATGACTGGAAACCGTTTATATTTGCTTCAAAGACAAGTCTTGATTGCTATACAATTTAGTGCAGTTACTATTTTTCTCATGAGTAAGGGTCAGAATTAGAAGAAAAGCTCTATAAGACTTGATGCATAAACATTTCCTTCTCTCTCTCTCTTCTATTTTTTGAGCTAAGTAAAGAAGCCACTAGTTAAATCTACTGCAAATGTTTATCTGAGATATAAAAACAATTATAATATTTTACATAGAATAATGAAACAGCTGAATGAACACAGATAATTGTACTATGCACATGGTATCAAGTGTTCTAGGAACCTACCATGATAGTACACTACCTGATATGTCAGTTCGTTTGCAGGAGAACACCTGACTGATAGCATCTATATGAGTCCACTTCTTTTTGCAGCCAACCAATGCCTTCAGTTTCAGCTCTACTAGCCTAGAAAATAAAAGCAAAGTAATTTTTCTGTGGTACCTTAAAGTGTTTTGATAGGCAGGTATAGAGAGCTATCCGACAGAATTATGGAACTTTACCCTGTGGCTGCAGTGTATAAAAGTTCTGAAGACCTGGTGAAGGAGAAGCGGACCTCACAAGGCAGAGAAAGAGCACTTTCTGCCTTCATGCAGTGTGGTATTCCCTCTGCAAACACAGTCCAGCTAGAAAAACAGAAACAAGCATACGTAGTGTTGAGGAGCCCTGAACGTGTATCTACAGTTTTATATAATGCAAACATAGTATACTTAAGCTGACAGTGTCATATGGTGGTTAATTTATCATTATATATCATGAATATGTCCAAACAAAACTGGAAGAAGTTTAGATGCATGCTATTTTTGAGTTGCATAATGCTAAAATGGGCACAAGCTCTGAGCTCTCACCAATAGTCTTTCTGTCGCTTCTTTAGCTCCTGTTCACGCGACAGCTTCGTACAATGATGTTTGTCTTCAAAGACTCTCAGAGCTTTAAAGAAAACAAAGGAAGTTTAAAGAAGGTTTTAAATTGTTGACATATACAGTATATTTGCATGAATTGAGCCATGTTCTAATACAGGTTGCAGAATCAGCCTTTTTTATACATCTTCTGTGGTCAGTTAACATCACAGCACACAAAATATAAAACAAACCTGTTCCCTCTCTGAAGCAGTGCACCTCCCTGTCATCAATCCAGTGGTAGATGGGAAAGTTGTAGGTGTGTCCTTCGGGAGATTTAACCATCACCTTGGCAGGAAACCAAGAGTCTTTTGGGAACAGTAGGAGGCTTTGTTTGTCGAGCTCGATCAGAACCAGTTTTCCAATGGAGGCAGGACAGGACACAGTAAAACTAGACACCTGGAAGTACGAAAACATTTATACAAGCCACTGAGATAAAGAATAATGTATGAATTGGGCTGTAACATCCAAAAAATTAGGCTACAATTACTGAATATAGAAGACAGACAAAAGACAGTTCAGGCAGTATAATGGCTCTGCATGAGAAACTAATTGTGTGAAGCTCAGAGAGATTTCTTTGGTTGCTTTGGTTGTCTTTGTGGCCATAGGTTGTAGAGTTGCACAGCTGCATGACTCGGAGTTGCTGAGGTTTAAACATCAGTCTTTCTAAGCTGGTATTACAGATACGTATTGTTTTATTTAAAGCTGAGTTATATACTATACATTTAAACATACAGTAGAAATGGATAATACAAACTTACTATTCTTCTGAGGGTTTACCGTTAACTTATAAAGAATAACATAAGCGCTGAGCTGTAACATCCAAAAAATTAGGATACAATTATTGACTGTAGAAGGTGGACAAAAGAAATCTCAGGCAGTATAATGACTCGGCATAAGATATAAATTTTGTGAACTCATTATATTAGGTTGCTTTTGTCGTCTTTGTGGCTGTATGTAGGTTGTAGAGTTGCACAGCTCCACATATCCTGTAGCTAAGGTTTTAACATCAGCCCTTTTAAACTGGTATTAAAGGTGCCTCAGTCATATATAGGGAAAGTTGAGTAAATATGCTATACATTTAAACATAAACATGGATAATACAAACTTACTGTTCTCCTGAGGGTCGAAGCCCTTTTGAAGCCAGTCAGCCAACTGCGTTTGCTTTCCCCATCTGTGCCCACCAGCTTGATGTAGACATTGTTTAAAGTCGTGGCAGTGGCATGATTGGCAGCAAATACGGTCACTTCATAGTTCACCATTTTCAGCTCTGATTATGTAACTGTCAATAAATAAACCATTGTGTAAAATCTTTAAAATGCATGCGCCGCGCGGAGTGGCAGCAAGTTACAGCAGCTGTGTCCTTGTTGTGTTCTTTTCTGTGTTTCTATGAAGTTCTGTTCTTATGGTGTTATGTTGGTTGTTCTCTATTGCTGCTGTAACACAGAAATTTCCCTACTGTGGGATCAATAAAGTACCTTTGCTACCCTAGCCTAAAATACTGGTATCACAATGAAAAGGGCATTGACAAAGGCAATGTAACAAATAATATTTCCTTTTTCTATTGAACTTAGCAATCAATTTGTTGCTGACTACAATCATTTTAAAAATATCTCTCATACCTCTGTTGATGAGACGAAGAAGCTCCTTCAATGATGTGATGTTTTCAGTGATTTTTTATACAAACAGTTTATGGGCATGTCAGTCAGCAGCAATAGTCAGATCTGGTAATGATTTACATGTTAAGGAAGAACTGGTTTAAAATTAATAATTAAGCTTTGAATTTTGGAGTGTGAATTCAAGCTGTTGGCCAGTGAGAGTTTGCTGACCTCCAAAGAAACAGTTATCATGGTTAACCTCTCTTGTGCTCTTTCTCTCACTCTCAAACTCACATACACAGAAATCTAATTTTTGTTTGCTCAAATAAGGTCTACAGTTTGGATATTAGATCAGTTCAGACAGATAACTAGATGAAATACCTAAAAAAAAATCTTCATTTTGCCTCGAGCCAGTGTATTTGGGGGAAAAAAGGGCAAGAAAATCGTTTATTTATTAAGATAAACCACCACAGCGGGAAGAAATCCAGAGGGCAGAGGCACTAGCTAACATAAACATAAATATGTGTATATGTGTGTTTTTCTCTGTGGTTTCCCAATCACTTCTGCTGTAGGATAACAGAGTCGGGAATCTCCTCATTCTTTTCTCACACACGTAAAGTGACAGAGCACGCAATAAGAGAAGGAAATGTCAAATGCTTTTTCAGATCATACAGAAGAAAGCATGAAGCCTCTGGCTAAACCAAGGCAGAAGACCTACCTAGACTCTGCTATACTTGTTCAGTGGAAACAACAAATCTATCAGTGCTGACGGGCCATGAACGAAAGTAATAAGAGGAGATAAATGAAGTTAACTATGTGGGAATGTTCGCAGAGCTAAGATGGGGATGTCCTTTCTCATACATAAGGACAAGGCAGGCAAGTTCTGATTGGGGCTACCTTTAAACCTCAATTTGTTGGCTAGCCAATAGTGGGAACTACATTGCAAATGGTCCGATTACTGACTCTAGAAGGTGGACAAAAGAAATCTCGAGTAAATATGCTATACAGTTAAACATAGAAATGGATAATACAAACTTACTGTTCTCCTGAGGGATGAAGCCCTCTTGAAGCCAGTCAGCTAACTGTTTGCTTTTCTGTGCCCACCAGCATAACCCATTGTTAAAAGTCTTGGCATGATTGGCAGCAAATTCGGTCACTTCATATTCCACCATTTGAATGACATCTTAAGGAAGAACTAGTTTGAAGCTAACTATTAAACACAAGACCACAATGGTTAAGAGTCAATGTCAACAAAACAGTTTTATTATAAACAATTGTAACATGGGCACAACCAATTTCTATGATAAGACAAAGACATACAGTAGAATCTAGAGTATAATCTACTATAAACAATGTCAATGCAAATACTGGCTCTGAAATCACCAAATACACAAATCACTGTTATTTTATTGTTTCCCATACATATATTTAGATACTTGTATTAGTCACAGGCAGCTCAGTTTATCAGTGCAAACCGACTACAATACACAGCAGTTGTCCTAGAACAAAACTTGAGTCCATCATTCTTTGTTTAAAACAGAATATAATAAAATAACCACCCAGTAAGTATATATGGTAATGAAATTAAACTGTAAAAGAAGCTAATTACAATGATGATATTTTTGTTTAATGCAATTTCCAGTCTTTCCAGTCCCCCTTTTCTTAGTGTGGAACTGAGGAATGTGGTCAGATCTGAGGGGAGGGGACAGTCAGCAGTCCAGTAGGCTTCAGCTTGTTGATACCGCCATCCAGTATACAGACCCGTGGAAAATTTACCTTGACTAAGCATGCTGCAAACTGGGAGGAAATGGGGAAAAAAAGGATATATATGTGTGTGTGAAAGTGTATCAGTCTGTACGTGCCTACACACATATGGATGTTCATGCCTAAAGATATGTTAAGATTTGTGAGTATACAAATTAAAAAATATTTACTAAAAAACATGATGCAAATGGTCTTTTATTAATGAGTGAAAAGTAGTTAGCCTTAAAAGAGCTAGAAAAACAGCAACTGCTTCAGTCGCACATCGAGAATACATCTCAACAGCATACTCATAGGCAGCAAGGCTTTGTTTCATTTTGATCATAATGTAAAAACAAACAGAAAATTAATGAAAATTGAAAAAATATAGCATAATAGGTAGTGAAAACCAGCAACTCTCATTGTGACATGCAACAAAGTACAGTATGTGCAAAAATACTCTGGTCCATTCATTACTTTCATTCATGTGGCTATCACAAGGCAACAAAACAAATCCCATTTTGTCTGATTGTATCGTTGGTTGTTTTGGAGTATAGCTTCAAAGTTTTATACTAGATTAGCTGAAATGTCCACATAAAAACTGAGCATGAAGAATCAGATGTATTTACTGAATCTCAATAGGGCTTTAAATGCTAAAGGTTTACAGTAAAGCCTGACCACACAGTGAGAGGAGTCATTGCATTGCCCCAGAGCTAATGATAATGCCACTGGTGCAGTGCACAGAGATGTGACTGGCATTTAAGCACAACTGAGCCCTTTTATCGACCTTTAATTTCATAACCGGCACTACTCAAAGGGCTGATGAATTACTGAGGTTCATCATAAAGTTCAGATGCAGAATTTCAAGTGTAGGGTGGCTGGCCTTTGTGTGGGGAGGTCTCATACCTCAAATCAACCAAAAAACTTCTTGCAAAACACCACATCTTAAAACCTTCCAATGATGAATTTCACTTGATTCTATCATACGTGTGATGAACAGTCATCGTACCTCATGTGATGGAGGTGATAATCCATTGTTTTTAATTATGACAAAAGCACAATTTGTAGCAGAGCTATGACTACATGCTGATGATGAGAAATAAACAAACAGCTTTATATACTGTACACTACAGAAGAATGCTTCCATTATTCTGTAACATATGTTTAGGAGGCTTCTTGCAACTAGGTTAGACAGATTTTGCTGCTACTTCCTAATAAATGCAGGGCTGTCTCTTCATTAAGGGGAACTACATTTTTTTCTCTTTTACTTTCCAGCATATGGAACCAGGACATATTCTCTAAATTGGGATATTGCCCGAAGCATTCTCCCTGCTGAGTTTTTAACGTAACTTTAGCTAATTTATTCCAAAGAGAGCACAAAAGGAGAATTTATAATGATCAATATAGTTCTGTGTTCTGTTACACTGAATCCAGAAAAGTTATTTTTGTGCAGTGAAATGTCAAAGACAATGATTTATGTAAACTATAGTTTCAACCTCTGCTAGGCTTAATGTCTTATCTTTTAGAAAAACAAAAAGGCAAAGACACTGTTGGTTTTTATTGCACTGTACATCAGACCAATAAACTTATATTACTAAAAACTGAAAATGTATAGTATTCAGTATTTGTTCCCAACCAAGACTAAATGAGAGCAGCTGTTCTTTGCTTAATATATGCCACCTCTGTTAGGAGTATGTCAAAGAAGATACTGAACAAATTGTTCTGCACACACCAATATTATGCCTACATAATATTTAATATTAAGATTATAAGTAGGGAGTGCTCTTATTTTACTTGGCTGCTTTCCTGCAGAGGCATTTTGCTTTCTGCATGCACTGAGTCCTGTCATTAAAGTTTTTGACTTTATTAAATATTTTAATATTTTCATAGCAACTGTGCAACTGAAAAGCCTAATTACAGTAAATCTTACGTTAATGCATTTATGTGTGTTTATATCAGAATAGTGTGTATGATGTGCTGTACGCAGGTGTATGTTTGTGTAAGTGCTTTCTCACCACAGCAGCGCTCTTCATGGCATGACTAATGACTACAATGACACGCCCTCTGTAATTCTGGAGGACTCCTGTTGTAGGACACTGCACCAGCTCACCATCGGGGCCGAACACTGTGCTGAAGGGAATGTTGATGCTGCCAGAAATATGGCCTCTGCTGAAGCTGGAAGCAGTCGGGTTAAGGAGCCTGTCTGGGGCCAAGACCAAATAAGTGGAATCTTGTTTTTGAAGGGAGGAAAGGAGAAGGAAGAATAAGAGACTTAGGTGTTCAACGTCTTTCTCAGACTTACTCTTCCACAAGTACATAAAAAGTCAGTGTTGCATGATACATTGTGCAGTAGAATCTACAGTACTTCCTGACAAATCCTACTGTGCTACTGCACAGTTAGCCTTGGTATTAGAAAAGTCACAGTTGTATTTCAGCAGAAATTCCACCAGGTCCTTGGAGAGCTAAATCTTGATTGCTGATTTACTCCACAGGGCTCTTAATTTAATCCACTTTTTGTGACCACAACAAAGCTTTGCAAAGATCAAGGGCCGCCAAATCCTGTGAAAATGATCAAATCTCTTTTGTTCATGTGAGTTAGCCTGGGGAGCTCCTGTTTATGAGGAGGCTCTAGTGTAGGAATTAGGCTAGAGGAAGTGCCATTTCAAAATCCTTCCTCTATCCACTAATCCTTATTGATGAATGGCTCTTTAACCTCTTTAGACAACTATCACTCCACTGATGACAGAAGAGGCTCACTCCTTCTGGTGCTTTGAAAGTTTATAGGCTGGGTTTTCTGGACCACTATGCTCCTAGTAACAGATCATGATTTCCCATTAATAAGAATAAAATTAGTTTTTTTTATACAGTAAGTTCAAAATTTATGAAGAGCTACTGAATTTGGCAATTTAACTGACTTAAATTAGAGGAGGAAGGGGTCTGCGCTTCTCTCATACACATAGCAGAGGGAGAACAGGAGATCTTAAGGCTCACTGACTGCAACAATGAGCAGTTTATTTACAGCTGTTGAACAAGCAGAGCACAAACTGGCAGAAACGTGACGTCTTCCTACGGCCCACTGACTGAAACCCCCGTTTTGCCTCTAAATCAACAAATGAGGTCATCCTTTTACCTCTAAACCAGTATAAGT